AGACTCTCTAGCCTTTCTAGACTCTCTAGCCTTTCTAGACTCTCTAGCCTTTCTAGACTCTCTAGCCTTTCTAGACTCTCTAGCTTTTCTTGGCTCTCTAGCCTTTCTGGGTAACACCGAGCGTTTGTAGCTCTTCTAGCCGTTGCAGAGTTTCTAGCTGCTGTAGGCTTTGTAGCTGGTGTTGTAGCCGGTTCAGTTCTGTTAGGTCTTCTAGTCTTTTTAGTTAAGTAGATTAAACATCAGGTACGTTTATTTGGTAAATTAATGATTGCTCGCTTATTTTCAAGTGTTGACAATTAGCCAAGTGAAACAAGGTTAAGTAGAAGATAAGAGAATTATCTGATTTATAGCTGCTTATGGAATTCTGATATTGACGCAACCAAGAATTTTTCTGTTCACATATTTGACTGTTCACCCGAGCAAGTTCGGGGTATGATGCCATGTTGCGGTCGGTTTGGCACTGTGGTCGCTTATGGTTCTGTTGATGAACGCGGTCGATCAATTACAAACTTTTCGCTACAAATTCTGAGTTTGTAGTTCGTTTTATAGCATCGTTAGAGTCATTGTCAAAACGTTTGTGAAAGTAAATATGAACGCTACACGCGTTATCATAAAGGAACCTGTGTGGAAGCTCCTGATGATGCTTAATATTTTGTAACATTGTGAACCAGTGATGTAGTAACAATTTAACGTGTTCTGCGAGAAACAGCTCCATAAAGTCAACAAGTATACCGCAATTGAACATAGTAAATAGTAGTCCGCTGGATGTTTTGCGATGATATTGGACTGTTCTTGAGACATTACATTTTGAGGGATAGTATCCCATGGCGTCATTGTCAATTGCAGTGCTTGATGGTGGTGTTAAATAGCTGTGCTCCGCTGCATTGATGGTAAGTGAAGCCGCGCAGTCATCACAGAAGCCAGTACCGTCGTGCTTTCGTTTGTTATTCGGTGTTCTTCCGCATCCGATGCGTACTTCACCTGTCACGAAAGAGGAAAATGCAAATACAGAAATGAGGTGTCAGATGAGTGACTAACCTAATTCTATGCTTGTTGTAGTAGTTAAATTGTTCTGGCATATCCAGCGATCTCCTTTCATCCAGCCATCAGTAACGAATGCCATTGAACAGGAATTTGTACATCGTTTGAGTAACTTATGGCAGCCCCAAAAGTTCACGAATGCGCTGTGTAATATCTCGTAGCGGCTCATAATATTTTTCATTATTTCTTCGGGAACAACTGAGTTTGCGATTTCAATCTTGTCATAATTGTAAAAGAAAAAGATCATTAAGCAATGTTGATACAAGTGAAATGTAGCATTCAACAGTCGTCTGTCTATTTTACGCGTTGGCTTTTTTGATAGATTTTCAGTCAACTTGTCGAATTCGTTTTTGACTCTGTGAATGAATGAATTGAACATATCTTGATAGTTACGAAAACCACTATACTGATGAAGCAACGAAGATGAGACATGTGCGAATAATGCGGCAGAAAAGATGGTGCGTCCGCCAAAATAAATCATTTCTTTGCCGTAGAGGCTCTGAACGTTGACAAACGTTTTATTGGCTTCGATGAATGTGTTTGGGTAATAGGTAATTGAACATTGTTTGCAAAACGAATAATATAAATCGATAGTTTCCACTGTGTTTGGTTTGAAAAGATCACAGTGTTGAGGCTTTTTAAGAAGTGACAGAGTTTGTGCACAACGTATGCATGTCTCGGTAAACGGTAAAACATAATTCAACGACGCACCGCACTGCTCAGCAATTAAGCGTTCACATTCTGCTGGAGCGATGAATTTCAATAATGTTGTGTTTTTGAATTTGTGCAACGCAACTTTAATATCAAAATCGTTGTACGACTTGTTAAATTTTTTCTCCATTATATGTCTGATATTTGCGAACTTGAGACCGTTGTAATCGTGAATTTTATTGTCGCAATGATTTAACAATGACATTTCTTCTAACGAAAACTTCCTCATCAAATGAAGTAGTGTGTATTCTTCCGCAGACACCTGTATAGAGATTTGAGGTGAGTCACTCATGTCTTTGTTCAAGTAGAAAAAGCACAGCTATTTATAATGTAGTCCTTTTCACGCTGCGCGAAACGATTTTGTGTTCGAATAATAAGAAGGAAACTAACAAATTAAGAAATTAGGATTTCTTAGAGATGTATTTTGTTGTATGAACTCGAAAAAGGAGATGAGAAAAATGAAGTACAGACGTAAGATTTGTTGTTCGTTTTGATTGTATGTGTAGCTGCAGCAAGGGTAGAGCACATAGTGTCGATTTGAATGGAAGAGAACTGAAAAAACAGACGTATATGTGCACAAACATAGAAGGTATAAAAGTGAAATGATCAAGGGTATATGAATGAATAAACAAAAGAAAGTTTTTTTTTTATGTACTAAAGTAACGTTCTTGTGATTTATTAAAATTCGAGGCGCTTATCTTCGTCTATGTTGTGTACGTGTGCCTTTTTGGAAAGGAATGCGCATGTTAAATAGAACTGTACAGGGCAGACGTATATGTTGGAAGATAAAAGAAAGAAATTGAAACTGGTCAAGGGTAATAAATAAACGAAAGAAATCTTTACGTCTATCTGCAATTGTAGTTGTTTGACGTTTTTTCTGTGTTTTGTTTTGAAGTATATTTAGACAATCATGCAGTTAGTTGCTGTTTTGATATGAGGTTTATGGTTTCACAGAGTTATGTGATACGACGGGTATGTGGTTGTGCTGCTGAGAAAAGTGCTGTATACGTTTAAGTGACGCAAGTCGTCTGCACGACCGGAATTTTGAACGATGTATAGAAATTACAAACTCGGTGTCACTCGATGACATTACTTTACCAACAGCAGTGTTCTCGTTTTTGGAAAATTATGCTGCAAACTTCAGCTGCAATCCGATTAAGTTTTTGTTTGGCTTAGCTGTTTGTTTTGGTCATTTATCGGAAGGCAGCCTGATTTATAACAATCAGGATAAAAAATTGCGGGCATGTTCACTGTTCGGGTTATACATAGCTCCCAGCGGTATGTTAGAAGTGGTAGTAGGGTCGTCTAATATTTACTCTTCTTGTTGTTTTATTGCTGTTGTTGGTGCAGCTGTAGAAAAGTCTGACTATTTGAACGCTTGCCTGAACGGTGTGATGGAATTAGAAAAATATATTTTTGAAGAAACGTTTACTAATGGTAAAGTTGGTTCAATGTACAGCGAAAAGGATTACAATGTTTGGGTTCAGGAAAATGGTTCAATCAAACAATCTTATACCACTCCAGCGTTAATTCAAATGTCACAATCGCGATCGATCATGTTATGTTCGAACGAAGGTGATGGAGTTTTGGCAGAATGTTCGTTCTTTAATCCGACGGATCAAAAAGCTGACAAACAAATCTGCACGTTAATCGACGGTAGTTAGAAAGTACTAATTATTTTGTCTCGAAGTGCTTCGAATTTCGGATTTTAGGCTGGGATGGTCACAGAATAATGAAATCTATCAAAGGAGACGGAGAAAATGTAGAAAACCGAAGTGTATCGATTTGCTTGGCAACCACTGCGCGGAGATGGCCAGAGTTGTTGCAGAAGTTAACGTATATGGTATTAGCTTAGATGTAGGGGAGTTGTTCACAAGGGGGTTGTTTGTTTCAGATTGTTAACAATTCCCGGTGGTCTTCATGAACGATTTAGCTTTTGCTGCTTTGATGTGGAGAACAAATTCGATTTATCACATGGTCTTGGAGATGCTGAAGAAGAAGAATTGTATGCGGAGTTATACGATCGCGGCAATGATAATGAAGCAGATGGGCAAGCGTGGGATTTAAAATTGTTGTTTTTCTGTTAAAAGATGTTTGGTTTCCGTGCGTACATGTTATCGAAGAGTGCATTTACCTATTTGCAACCGAGACTAAATGAATTACGGTCGAACCGTGCGTGCTCACTGATACCAGATAAGATGCTGTTTGAAACAAAACAGCACATGGCAATTCGTCGCCGAGCAGCCGAACAAATCATGCGATATGCCTGCATTTTTCAAATGTTAAAGAATTGTATTGATATCCTGAATGGTTGCGGTTTTTCATCGTCGGGAAGTACAACGTTGTGTACAGAGTCGGCACGGCAAATACGGGAGCAGGTTGTTAGAGAAGTTGGTGTTGATTTAATTTGAAGCATTGTGATGTGTTTTTTGATTTTGTAGATCGAGGATATGTACGGTAAACCAGATGATGTCAAGAAAATTCGCGCCAATCCAATGACAGCACGATTTATGATTGTTGATTTGAATAGTGCTAAATCAGCCGTTGTATTTTATGTACGGTTGTTGTTGCCTCAATCAATTCATTTATTCAATGTTAAGGATGATGTGAATGCGGATTCGTTGCGAAATGATGAAGCGCGAACGCTAGTAAAGAATTGTTTGTTTAAACAGGAATTAATGGGGAAACAGATCCCCATATTCACATTCTGAATTTATCTTATCGTTTTTTCAATAAACAGGTAATATGCGGCAACGGACGTCGTTTTCACAATCATCGTAAAGATGTCGATTTGGGTTTGGCACGCCTGGTTGCTGCTGGGTTTTTGTTGGTCAATAAAGAAGATAAATGTTTCTTCAAACATCCGTCTCAACGAAAGATTTATTCAACAACGTATTGCAAGGCT